CATATTTCCTGTAATAAACATAACAAACCCTCAGCATCAGTTGAAAAGTTTTCTACCAAACATGAAAGCCAGAATTTTCTGTCTTCAAAAAAAAAAAAACTCCATCTAACCACATTTATACATCAAAAACACTCCTTGAGTAATAAGAATCATGATTACATGATGATTACGAGGGCGTATAATTTACTTTAGCAATAAAAATACAAAGCTCAATGGGAAAGCTTACAGGCAACATAACAAGCTTGGCACCCTTTGCAGCAGCCTCTTCAATTGCTTTGCGAGCGTGCGCAATATTCCTCTCTTTATCAGCCGTCACCGATAACTGACACAGCCCAATCTTAAACTGCACATCGCATCATATCACACAGCAAGCAAAAAGAAAATCAATTACAGAAGTAAGTAAATCAAGAAACAAATCAAGAAATCGTGCCTTGGTGACAGGAGGAACGGGCAAGGGAAGAGCGGGAGGGGCTCTGGCTTGCTCGGGCATGAAAGAAGAAGCCATTATTGGAGTGTGGATTTGGGATTTCTGGTTGTGAGTGCTGTTGTTACGTGGTAGGAGAGAAAGGAAGTGGGTGTTTGATTTTGAGCGGAAAAGGGAAGAGGGCAAGCGAGAGAAAGGGGAATGATTTAAATGGAGCTTCAGGCTCAGATTTTTTGAGCTCAAGAGTGTTGTCGTTGATGATATTGCTGACTTCATTTCACTCTCTCCCCTTCTTCGATTGATAGATGGCTACTTCCACTATTTTTATTTATTTTTTTTATCCTTGAAGAATTTGTAAAAACATCTCTTTTATTTCATTCCCAGGTTACTTCTCGAGTTACGGACCAAAAATTTAAAATGATTTTTTTTATTTTAAACAATAAAAAAAAAATTTATTTAATTCTTAAACTTGTGATTCTGGAATACAATTGCTATGTAATAAATAAATTTAAAATCAAATAAACACTTAAAATGAAGTTAAAAAAACTAACAAAAACCTAATATTGAAAACTTAAATTGCAAACAAGAGAGTTATACACATAACAAAAAAAACAAATTAACCATTAAATATTAGAATATATTATACAAATAGCAATATGAAAATAAGATCTGTTCAATTATACAAATAGCAATATGAAAATAAGAGCTGTTCATAATTTAACTTTTATAATTTCTTGAAATTATTTAATTAGTTATTGAAGTATAAAATTTAGTCTTTTGCTTATAAATTTTATGTGGTAAATATATTGATTAAATAATTATTTTGTTAGCGATGTTCTAGAAAACCAAAAATAAATCTTGTTTAGAAATTCAAATATCTAATGAAATAAAAGTTTTAAAATTCACATTTTCTCTTTTATGTCATTTTTTTCAAAATATCCCTAGAATTACCAAAATTAAATTAAATTTTAAACAAATAAAACAAGAGAAAATAAGAAGATCGAAAAACCTAAAATAATAATAAAAATTATTGTACTAGAAATTCAAAAAAAAAAAATCCAGGCACATAAACAGGTTTGGGTGCCCAGCATACCTCGACCCTTAAAACAAAACCAAAGCACGCAAGACTTCTAGCTCAAACCCGTTGTTTGGGCCATTTTAATTTAGTTTTTCTAATAAAAGACAAGCCACCTGCTCTAATTTTTTTATTAGAAAATAATTATGTAGATGAGATGTCATTTAGTTTTTCATAATTCAATCATGGTCGTGGTGGTTATAAATTTAAGTTCGATTATTTTTATTTGAAAAATCAATTTCAATCTATTTTTATCTAAAAGCACATAATAAACACATTTAAAATATCTAAAAATTCATTTGTAAGCCCACAAAAATTCTAAAATTGTTTAAAAATGTAAAATCAAACCAAAAACTTCTTTTATTTATCAATTCTAAATTTTTTTTATTCAATATTAAGATTGAAAACAACCCCTCTCCTCTAGTAAATCTATTGACATCAATATTAATGATTCTCATGGGAGCAAAATTGATGTCAATTGATAATTTTTTCTCTAAATCTTGTGGCTTTATCTCTTTTATTTTTCTTGTATTAATTAAAATGTAAAAGAAATGAACTTTTGGAATAAATTTAAAATTAATATATAAATATGTGTGTGTGTGTGTGTGTGTGTGGAATATAGAGGTAAAAAAAGAAAAGTAAGAGAAAAGGAACTTCCCCTCGTTTTACAGTGGCCATGAGGTTCCTTTTTGTTTTTTTCATTAGATTTCATTTTTTTTTATCAAATTAATTATAAATAAATTATTCTTTTCACATTTTTTTTTACTACAAGTAAATAACTAAATTACTCTTAAAAAATATATATTAAACTAGCATTTAAAATATTTTTTCCCCTTATTTTTTAAAATAGTAAAATAACTAAATTCAAATATTACTAAATTGGCTTTCAAAGGCTTTATTATATTTTTATCTTGATTTTTTTTTATTATAATCAAGTTCATTGAAAGAAAATTTAATAATATAATAAATATATAAATATTATCCAATAAAAAGCGGCTCATGATTGGGTTGAGGTAATTTCATCAAACAACATGTCACATGGGTTTTTGGTAACTAAATAGTGACTTTCAAGTCGTCTTGACAACCTTTCCATTCATAGTCTCATGCATATAGCAAACAGGTATTTAATTTAAGTTTGATATCCTTTTATTTTCTTTTTATTCTTTGCTTTCTCTTTCTTAATTTCTATGTGTGGCTTGCTAAATTTTCAAAGAAACTTTTCAATTTATTTTCACTTGAGAGTTGATTCATGTTCTTTTAATTAATATTTTTTTTATTTAAAATAATGTATAAATTTGATTTTTTTCATCCTCATTTAATGTTTTATCAATTATATTTGATCCTTGTTATTTTGATTGCTATTTGTTTTATTTAAAGTAATTATTATAGTTTATTTTTTTATGATTTTATTCTTCTTCAATTTTTTTCATAATAAATTTGTCATTCATTTATATTTTTTAATTTGATAAATTTATTAAATTAATGTTTTTCTATTTCATACCTCAATATTAAATTTGTTAGGGATTGAGTTTTTTAATTAAATCATAGTCTAGAATTTTACGGGTTGCAAGTTTTGGAAATCAACTCAAATTTAAGATATTTGATAGGATATATTTTATTTTCCTTATTTTTTAAGCTTAATCTTTTTAGTTTTACCCTTCATATTAATTTAATTAAAGATTGAGTTCTATTTTTTTGTTTCTTTATTTTTTTAGGTTTTTTCACTGATTTTAAAAATGATTTGGGCAACCTCAAGTCTTTTTATTTATTTTTCTTTGTTAAATTGAGTTTTTTTAAAAGAAATCTTGCTTTTCGAGTTATTCCTCTTGTAATGTTTGTTATCTTTTTTCGTATTGTCATATAGCTTTTCAAAACGATGTTATAATCATTTTAGTGAGCTCTTTCTGGTAGTAAACCGATGTTCACGACACAATAATAATGAGTTTCTAACGAGTTTTTTTTTTGTTAGGTATAATATTGATAATTTATTTTTTATAATTAATTATTTTTTTATTTTTGTTTTATTTACTATTATTTTTTAATAATTATGTTACTAAATTAATCAAGTTTAATAAACTAGACTAGACCAAGTGAATGACCCAAGTTTTAATTTTTTTTTCTTAATTTAAAACATTAGTTTTGCTTGAATATTTTATTTTTCAAAAAAGTAAGAAAATTTTATCTTGACTCTTCCTGCATACAACCTATCTAATAAGATGTAAATCTAAAAAACAAAATAAGAAATTTAATATACACACACAATTGTCTTAAAATTTAATAATATGTTATAAAACTATGTTACCAGCTTTAAATTTAATTATTCTATCACACATGGACAAATATAAAACCTAATTCAAGTAGTTTTTTCATATAAACCACAAGGGACATTTTAGTTGGGTACTAGACCCTTTTTCATGGCAGTTTGGATAAAAAAATATTGAAAATAAAAGGAATATTTAAATATTATTAATGTATTTTTTTTAAATAAATTATATTAAAATTGATATGATATGACTTAATCCACGTAGCATATCAAAAAAATAACCTAGATAACCAATAAAAATATAATTTGACTAAAAATAATAATTAAGATGAAACTTTTTTATAAAATATTAAAATAATAATATATTAGATTGACTTACATCAAGTTTAAATTAACTTGTTAAATTTGCTATTCAGGTCATTAGACTCAAATAATTCAATGGAAAGCATTTTATTTTTTATTAAAAATAATTCTCAATTAACCCAAAATTAAATGAGATTAACTTGTCAAACTTGGATTAAGAAATTGAGATAACTTTATATATATATATAAAAAGATTCAATTTCCAATCAGTATGATATTGAAAGATGAAGTTAAATAATATATTCAATTAAAAAAGTTAGAAAAAATGATGAAAAAAAAATTATTTGTTTTTATGTTTTAAAAGTGTTTTTTAATTAAAATTGTTTTATTTTTTTACTTTAAAATAATTGTTGTTTTGGTGTATCAATTTTGAGTTGTTAAGAAATTAATCAACTTTATTTTGTTAAATTATTTTTTAAAAACAATCCACTCACCAAATGAATAGGAGTCATGGAATCAAAGATTAAGGATTAAATTATATAACATATGTGTTGTTTATTTATTTTATTTAAGAGGTTGATTTAATGGTTGAGAAGATTTATTTTTTAGTTCAAACTTTAGAAACAATACCTGGAAGAATTCATTACATTTAAATATAACATAAGACGTGTCGTATGCATTTTGCAATCAAATCTACGGTTCAACGGAGGGATTTAAAACCCCAACCGTCATGAACCCACAACGGTCATTAACTGCCACTCGCGCCCCCCCTGAAATCTCCTTCAAATGCAAGAACTTCCTCGGGAAAATCTTCATATTCCATTATTGTCTTCTTCATCAAGCACCAGACTCGCCTACTGTCTGGTGCTTGATCTCTCTTAAAAAAAGAAAGAAAAACCACCGATTACTTGTTTATGTAGTGTTGTATTTATTGAATGGCAGATCCTCGGTCCGTCGTACCCTACCATGACCCGTATGACAGCCCTATTGACTATGAACATCTAAATTTCATGAATGATGCAAACCCAAGCCTTGCAGGTTTATCCTCTGACAATGAACCCACTCCAGCAATTCCTGAATCATTCAGTGGCAGTGCAAACGCCAATGCAAACATTTTGGATCCTAATAACCCGTATGAGGATCCAATGGCTTGGAATTTTTATTATGAAAATCTTAGAGTGCAATCTCATGAGGCTGGTCCGTCACATCAGAATCAGGGACAAAGTTCTTCTGGACCACTTCCTTATACACCATTTCCCAACGCGTCATTTCCTGATGGACAAACTTCAAATGCATCAGGAAGAAGTGAAGAGATTTTCCTTGATGAGAGGAATATTGCTATTTGGCCACCTGAACCAGTCCCTTTTCAATGCACTTGCTGTCAAGTTCTAAGAGAAATAATCCACACTGATGGTGTGTTTTACATAGCATTTCTTTCTCTCTTTGATAATTCTAGTTCTTTTTTTTTTCCTGGTTTTTTTCTTGTAAAGTTTACCTATTCTGTCGTGGCAGGGAACTATACTACAAAACTTGAGATACATGGGAGAATGGGTATCATCTGTCATGCTATTCTTGAGAACCGGGATTATGTCAAGGCAATCCACCCTCAATATTATATGTTTGAGTAAGTTTTATTGGTCTAGTTTAGTTGTTTTCGTTTATTTTGGTGTTTTGATTATGAGTCACTTTCTGAAATTGTAAACGCCGTGGTTTCATACATTTTGCAGTTTCTGCAAGAAAAGCTTGGAGAATGTGAAGGAATTTCTGCAGAAGTATTGCGACGATAGAAGGCAGGCGGGCTTCATTATGGTCCAAGATCCACACTCATTCTTCTATGAAGCCCTTTGTGTTGGATACGAGTGGACTGACGATATGCATTTTGATGAATTTCACGATCCATCCCCATCAAATTCAGGTTAGTATCTCTCTGCATGAACTAGACTTCACATAATAATACGTTTATTTACTGTTGCAATTGCAAACTCCTTAGATTTTTCTTAACACTATGAGGAGAATTGAATTTTTTTCTTTCTTGTACATGTCAATATCACGAGACTTGAAAGCTGGAACTTTAACAGAGGATCGACAAGTAACGAATCATGGAGAGGGAGAGATTGAGACAGAGAGAACGACTCGAAGCAATCTTGCACTACAGGTTCTACTTATTATCTTCAACCATAATAAAGGCATCTTGCATTCGCATTGCAATATAAGGATAGATGAAAACAATTAAGACCTTATATTGTTTATTAGTACTAATTAATTGAGTAATTTTTTTGGGGTTGTGGGTTCATGCAGAGGGCAAGAGCAGGAAGGTTGACACTGGATGACTTTAGACAGTATTTCCATCTCCCTATAGAAGATGCAGCGAGGAGGTTGCACTTGTGTCCCACTGTAGTGAAGAAGATATGCCGGAAATTCGGGATGACTCGATGGCCACACAGAAAGGTCTGCCTTCGTCCTGTAGTTTTTATGCTCCTTGTTCTTCGCCATAACTTTTCAAATCATTGAATTTTCTTTCCATTTTTTTTCTTTTGGTTACATATAGATCAAAAGCATCCAGAGGCAATTAACAGATCTCCAAGTACTCTTAAATTCGAACGATGCAGAAGAAAGGGTACGTGCACAAGTAGAAATCATGAGGCTTCAAGAGGAAATAAGAAATGCCTGTTCTGGGTCCGCTGGATGATATTGTTATGTGCATAACATGCGTGTTCATGTTACTTTTTTTTTTATTTAATTTTTCTCCAAGGATTGTGAAATGCTGAGTAGAGGCATTTGAATTTTGTTATGGCAGTACTGAGACACTTCTTGATCAGAGATCGAGGAGATTTTGTTGATTGTGATTTTATTTTGTGGCTGTAATCTATAATGCACCCGCAAAATATTTATCAATAGCTATCGTTTTGCTTTCTTCTGATCTTTGATTTATCATGCTAGGAGCTGACGAGGAAGTAGTAGACATGTCCATTCTGGTTTTTTAAAGAATCACTCGGCAGAAATATGTATGCGAAATATGTCTTCTCTTGTCTAATCTTATTGCCCTGCCATATCAGGTCTCACAAAGTGAATGAAACCAGAGTAAAAAGTCGACAAAATCTTTCATTTCCAATGTCTTTGTATCGCAAACTCATTCATTGGCAAAGTTTCTTGCAGCATTTGAGCCAGCTTTTATATGTTTTCTCTGATGAGGAAGGTGGTGATTGGTGGATGCACCTGCAGGCATAGTAAATCAATAGAGATGGCCTTTCATGGCATCATCATAATAGAAAATAAAAGAATATTTACACAAATGGCATAGGAAAACACTTGTGATGCATGGCACGTGGAGATCTAAAATTAAATTGACCACACCGGAGTTTGTACAGTAATGGCTGCAAAATGCTAAGACTTTTGATAAATTTATAATCTTCATACTCTGAATATAAGTTTCAGATTCCATGGAAAGGCACTTTTGTTTCAAGAAGTAGGAAGATATGGCTGCTACTCTAGTTTGTGTTAGACGAGTGAAGCAACAAGCTTGTTGCAGTTTAATTTAGGAGACTTTACTTTGGAACAATATATGTACAGATCAGCTGCAAGGTAGGTTTTCTTCCATGTTTTGTCCTGACAGTACTCGTGGTTTCTGATGGCTGAAAAATAATATATACTATGATAAGCTGATGTCCTAAATGTCTAAATATGAGATTTTAGCCCGCAATCCATCCTGGATGTGTGTCCATCACAGCCCACAATTTCGAAATGTTGGAAAAACCGAGACCCCAACACACAAGTCTCCAAGACTGTTTGTTGATTCTTCTGCTCAAATTTTATACACAAGAGGGGGGTGGGGGAGGGGGGGGAGTCTTAATGGGCAGACAAAAGATCACCATAAGATCAGCGGCATTTAGCGCAATGCAGAAACTGGGGCAGACAGAAAACAAGAGATCAAACGTTTTATTCTTGGAATGGGATGGACAATGGTAAAAATGTCCAGTTTTTAAGAATATAAAATCCAACCAAACCAAATTCATTTTAAGTTAAAAATAAAAATTCAAATGTTTTAGTCCAAATGAAACCGACAATCACCCCTTCGTGACAAAAGCCATAACCAATGAAAATGGAGTGAACACCGCCAGCATGGAATGTTGTTTCTATGATGTGTCAACTCAACCAGTCAACGGTAACTGATTAACCTGATTGAAGATTGCCTCACGAAACATGTTAGAAGGTGGATCTTGTGTAGCACATTTGTCCCTGCAGACATCCACTCTCCTAACAAATGACTTCGGCGGTGATGATGAAGGGCTGTTTTTTTCAGTATTTTAAAAATATTTTTTTAAAAAATTATTTATTTATTTATTTTAAATTAATATATTTATAGTATTTCTATATCCTGATATTAAAAATATTTTTTAAAAAATAAAAAAATTAGTAATATATATTTTGATATAAAAAATTATTTAAAAAACAACCACAATCATATTTTTAAATAAACTTAAAGTAAACACTATCAAAATGACAATAATGTCCACTCATATTGAATTCCCACCAAAAATATTTTTTTTTAACATGTAGCTCTAGAGTTTATACTGTAATATGGTTATTTGTGTTTCCAGTGCTAAATTTGTGCTAAAATTTTTCTGATGTAATTATTGTGATTTTTAAAAGAGTAAGAATAATTTAATATTTGATTGAATTTTAATTTAATAATATAATTAAAAATAATTAATAAAAAAATCAGCAATAATAATTATACAAATGAGCTCTTAACATCATGCTTTGAAGAAGAAGAAAAAAAGTTTGTTAGAAACTCCATGTTGTTTTGTAGTATATACCACCTCATCACTAGAAATAACTTATTGAAATAGTTTTAATATCATTATGAAAGACTACACAATCATACCAAAAGATACCGCGTAAATCTTTAGAGCAACGACCTGAAAAATAAATCAAATAAAATATCATGAGGTGAATATCTTATATTTATATTTAATTAATTAATCTAATTTAATTTAAAAATACTTTTTTTAAAAAAAAGCTAATATTAACAAAGAATGATAAATATTATAACAACCTTAATTTAACAGAATAAAGACACATTCATGTTTATTCGCGCTGATATTTTTTTTTTTGTTGAAGCTAGTGATATTATTGACATCATTAGTCTCTTTTATATGGACCAGCTAATCAGAACTAATAATTAACGTCGATATTAATATGATTTATTGGTATCATTAATTATCCTAACTTGAATAATTAATTAACTCTTTTTTTAGGTATCTTAAATTTATTGTTTAAAAATATCGATATCAAGAAAACTCTTGACATTATTGACCTCCTTTCAAAAATAACTAATCAAGTCCTAAATAAAATTATTGATATCAATATAACTCATTGATATTATTAACTATCCAAATATTTGGAAAACCTAATCAAGTTTAGTTTCAATTTTGTTAATGTTAATGTCATGGGTCTATTGACATCATCAATTCTCATTGGTTAGCATAGACTCAAAATGAAAAATTATTATTATATTCAATTTTTTCATATCAATATTTTGATTTATTCTCTATCAGAATTAGCCATATTTGGCATATATCTTCAACATTCAAATTTTTTATTAGTTATTCTTTATAAAGGCTATGAAAACATTAAAAACCCTTTCATCATGCTTTCATCTCTATTTATTCTTATTCATTTATATAATTATCTTTTTACTTCGTAATCATTTTCTTTCTTCTACTTAACAATTTTTTTTTAGAGTAAATTCTTAATTTACTAAATTCATTATCATTATGTGAAATAATACCAAAAACCCAAAAAACTACCATTCACACTATGATTCACACAAACTATCAAGAAAATTTACTATTCACCCATCAACACATGACCGACCACTAAAGACCCACCAACCCCCCAATTGTTTTTCATCATTTCATCATGATTTCATTCATTTCATAACCTATAATGATCATAAAAAATCAATTCCAAGATAATTTACATTTCTCTCAAATTTTCACTTGGAACCCTAATTCAATTTTGCAAGAATTCTAATGAAAATCAAGAAATCCTCTTTCTAATTGATATAAACATACTTTAAACATCCTACCTAATCATATTTTGAACTTTGAACACTAATTAGCTTACATTTTCTTCAACTCTTTTTTTTTCCCTCCTTTCATCTTCACTTTCTTTTTAAATCACTCTCTTTCTCTTCACAAATCCTACCTAAACTTAGTGTTTTTCTTGTGTTTAATCCTTCTCTAAACCCTCCCCAACCCCTAATCTCTCTTTTTCTTAAGCATTTGCACACAAATTTCTTTTCAATTTTTCATGTACTTTATCATAACCCGATTTTAAACCTCCAATTTTTTGTTTTTATAAAGTGTATAATTTTTATTAAAACATAAAAAAATATAAGATCCAAAAATAGTTTTGGAACATGAGGAAATAAACATTTGAGCCATAAATTACCAGAAAAATAGCTAAATTGGGATGTTTTGACAAGATGAGATGAAGAAAGAAAGAAAATTGAGATTGAAATCCAAATTAACTTGACCAAAATTGGAAGAATTAATTAGTCTAAGGACTCAATTAAACTTCTAATAGGTTTAATTCACTTATTTAAGAGCTTAATTGAATAGAAATTGAGTTTGAAAGTCAATTGAGTAAAAAATGAAAGTACTAAGTTTAAGGACTTAATTGAAATTCTAATGAGTTTTGGTAATTCAATTAAGGACTTAATTGAAAAAAAATAAAGTTTGAAGGCCTTATTCAGATCAATTTACAAATATTAAAAGATTAGGGATACAATTGAAATTTTAAAAGATTAAATTAGTGCAATTAAGGTTTTAATTGAAAGAAATTTAAAGTATAAAGTTCAATTGAGCAATACATTAAATAAATCTGAAATCAAAGATCACTTTATAAAAAATATTAAAATTTAAGATTCCAATTGAAAAGGGCTAATGGTGAAATTTGAAGGGATTCAAAAAAACTCTATTGCAAAGTGCTAAAAGTTCAAGAATCAAACCAAAAAAAATGGTAATTTCACTATTTATTATTTTCTTCCCTGAAATAAAAGAAAAAGGATGCACTAAGTGCTCACCTTTTGGTCCTAATTCTTTCCTCACCCCTTCACCACACCACACAAATTTAATGTTTATGGTATTTGTATTTAACTCTAGGCGAAAACTCTAGCTCTTATTGAATTAAAAACATTTGCATATTCTCGCCTAAAAACACTATTCAACATTGCTTTACCAGCAAAAATAATATAATATTTTTTTTAATTAGTTTTAGAGTAAGACAAGCTTTCATCCTTAACTTTAATAAATAGCTGGGATCTATTTCTAAACATTCAAGTTCTTTGAGATCCCATAAACTTACCAGCCCAAAAAACTCTCTATTTCTTCCTTATATATCCTAATTCAAGCAGCCGAGAGAGGTGAGCGAGTAGCTGGAAAAAAAAAAGGCCAAAGAGAAAATAATTCACTCCCAGCACTTTTCATCTCTATCAGAAGTTGTGCACTCCTTCTAAGCACCACCACCACCAACCTCTTCTCACAACGCCCATTCCTTCAGTGAAGCGATGCCAACACTGTGACACCCTCTCCATCAGCACCACTTTGTGCCTCTCGTATGCCACCACTTAGCTGACGCTCACGTTTCCTCTTATTGACGAGCACCTCTATCACTACTGTTGCTGGAGTTGTGCCTTGCCACTGTGAGAAGCTCTCCCTCATCCAGCCAGCAACCCAGTAACAATGAACTTTTCTTCTTCTCCAGCGACAGCTCCAACGTTCCAGCCATTCCTCCTCAGCAGTGCATCTGTAGGGAGCCTGAAGTACACTTCCAGGAGTGATATCTTATAGAAGTAGCTTTGCACTAGCTCGTCAGTAGCTTCTTCCTCTCAGCAACGTAAGCAACAGCCTCACCAACTGGTAGCCAAGCACCCAAAAGAACTGTGAACTCCTTTGCATTTCAAAGCCATTAGCGTGACCAGCTTCACAGCAACTATCTCCTCAATCGTGCAACAACAGCTCAGCCTTCATCTCCTCTATACCGTGAGCAGTCGTGGAAGATATTCTTCATGATCGCTAACCACTGGTTCCACCGTGACCAGTTGTAGTCCAGCATCTTCTTTCAAGTAACAGTAGCAGATCGTGCAACAACTGGTCTCCGTCTCTTCATTACTGAAAAAGGGTTCCAACAGAGCAATAACATTAGCACGAGTTTCAGCGCTTCATTTTCTTTTTAGCCCAGCAACAGCGTTTTTAGCTTCTCCTGACAGAAGAGATGGAAGCTCCTCCTTCCAGCAGCGTCATCTTCTCTGCACCGTGAGCAAGCAGCAGGAGGAGGCTTGCCTTGTCAACCTCCAGCCTTTCGTCTCTTTTGCACCCGCGGGAGTAGCAGTGGAGAATCGTCTTCATCAGCAGCAAATTCACCCTAACTGTGAGAAATCCAGCAGCCTTGCGTCCTCATTTTCTTGCTATTGAAGGTCTAATCCTCAAACTTCTTGAAGCATGAATTCCTAGATTAATTATATTCATCAATTTTGCGTGTTTGTTTCTATGATTTACATGTGCCCGATTTGGAAATAATGTTTGAAGAAATTTGTTCATAGAAAATTCATTTAAATTAGTGTTTTCATATGATGCTTAGATATATTTTTTAAGGAAATTATGCATACGTATAATAATACGAAAATGGCATGAACACTGGATGAATAGTGTAGGGGCTTTCCATTTTTGCTGAAGCTTTTGAGTGCAGATCTTTTGTCATGGGTGTAGCTTGCGTTTATAATGTTTATGTTGGGCTGAGAAGGGTGTGTTTGGGATGAGGTATAAATCATGTTTTTTAAAATTTTTAAATTTTTTTTTGTTTAAAATGAATTTTTTTTTATGGTTTTAAATCGTTTTAATATATTAATGTCAAAAATAATTTTTTTAAAACTAAAAAAAATATTTTAATATATTTTTAAATAAAAAATACTTTAAACTATTACCATTACTATAATTCTAAATATATTAGTTAATTGAGAACTTAAAAAAAAAATTCACTTTGATAAGAGACTGGACCTTTTATATCCTTACCTTACGCAATATTTAGCTTATGCAAATTTTATAAGGAAAATTTTTTTATTTTTATTTTTATAGCATGTTTGACAAGCATATTTTAATCAAACTTTTAACAAAAAATTTTATTAATTTTTTTATTTTATCAAACAAATTCTAAATAATTTTCAAAATCTTTGAAAAATTTCAGGGATTACTTTAAAACTATTTGAGAGTCTCTCAAATGTTTTTCTAATACTTTTATTTAATATCAGGTTGTAGACTTATAATATAAAATATTAACTCAGTATTAAATATATCTATTTTTCTTCAAAATTTCAGAGAAAATACAAAAAATAAAAAATAAATAAATTTTTATTTGTGTACATATATAGCCAAGACTCTTAAAAAGCAAATTATATTTGCAAATTTAAGCATACTAAAAATTACAAAAATTGTTTGTATATATATTGAATTTAATAACAAGTTTATTAAATTCATGAGAACTCGACCGATATTTCAAAAATATCAAAAATTTTATTTTAATATATAAGATTGAGAACTTATATAGAAGATGTATTCCGTATATTGAATAAAAATATTTTTTATTTTATTTTCTTGTTTTGACTTTAAAATAATTAGGTTTTAACCTAATAAGATAAACACCTCCTTACCGAATATGACTTTTTTAAAACTTTAAACAGACTAACAGTTAAAAAATACAATAATATCTTAGTTTATATCAGATAAACAAACAATACAGTTTACCATATATAAGATATACTTAGGATGATACATTCTCCTTATACACAACTAGTTCCCTCTACCAGATTCTGAAATCAATTAAATTACAATATTAGGTAGTGACTCTATCTTTTTTTTTACTAATTAAAAACAAGAATTCATTGTTCTTTCCCTTGTCACCGCAAAAAGACCCCAATTTAGGAGGACAATTGCCTCGATGCCACACATATATGATGTTCTCCTCACTTTTTTTCCTAGCAATTGGCCTTGAGGGATAAAAGGAGATGATAATAGTTTTTAAAATTTAAAATTTTCCCCCACAATTCCTTTAATTCATTTCTTTGGTTATTTTCTAAAATTATTATAACAGTTAATACCTTTCTTTGCACTAATTTGGTTCAATTTTTTATTTTATAATAATTTCATAATGCTTACAAATAAAAAGACATAAGATAATCCAAGTCATTTTTAAAATTAATAAAAAATCTAATAAAAATTAAATAAAAATATATATTAGAGCTTGATATCCAATTAAATAAGTGTTGGAGGATGATGAAACTGAAAAAATATGAATTTAGAAAAAAAAATTAAGTAAACCTAGATGAATTTTTCAAACTAGGTTTAATCTCTTTAACTTACAATTCATGAAATTTTAAATCCAGACTAATTAGATTGCTCAATTTTTAATTAATTTAATGTTGAGTTAATATCAATTTTAAAAAGTTGCCAAAATTAAAAAAATAATAAAGATGACCAAATCTGATAAAAAAAACTCAAAGAGGATGAAATCATTGAAAAAATTAATTTTAAAAATGATCTCAAATAAAATAAATAGCAATCAAAAGAATGAGAATCAAATCTAATAAATAAAATTTTTTTGAAAGATGATGAAATTAAAAAAAAAATTCTAATAAAACAAAAGGCAATGAAAACAATAAGGATCAAATATGAAAAAAAAATTTGAAAGGTTGTTTTAAAAATTTGAGGGTCATATACAGAAATCAAGAAGGAGAGATAAAAAAACAAGAGGTCATCGAGCTAAACAAGAAGTCTATAAGCCACTTATACCACTAAGAGATTGAAAGAACGTTGAGACAATTCCATCACCATTGTGGAAGGTTGTGTTTGGCTACTAAAAGACTCCTCCTACTGCTTGAAGAGCATTTCACACATGCTGATACATACCCAACTATTTTTATTTTTAAATTATATTTTATATTTATTAAAATATTAAATTATTTTTCACTCAACTTGATTATACTAAAAAAAACTAAACTATAATAAAAATATAAAAAAGCTTCTAGATATCATTTAAAAAATATTTGTTTCTAAGAATAATTTAGTAATTATAATGTGTTTTAATGAATAAAAACACAAACAAACTTAACTCTTAGAAAATACTTAAATCAATTTTATTTTTAAAATAATTTAATTATTTTATTATTTTAAAATTAGAAAAAAAACCATGTTATTTTTTTTCAATATAATAATAACTAATAATCATTGTAAAAGACCACATGCATTACCCTTAATAATGTATTCAATAATTTTTTATATGAATGATAAAATAATTATTATAATGTTTGAATTCAAAGTGTAATGTGTAAGATGTCTTTTTACCGTGAAAGAAGCGCTATTAGTTTTTTAAGATATGAAAAAAACTTAATTTAATGCTTCCCATGCCGTGCCGTATCCTAGCAACCAAAAATTAATAAAACATAGAACTGAAAACCAAAGATCCATTTCAGTTTCATTTCACCAGCAGCAACGGCGATGCCACCAGCAGCAGCAACGGCAAGAACCCTAACCCGCCATCCTCGCTCTTCTCACCTAGCCTCCCTGGTCACTGCCATAACCTCTTGTCTCGAAATCCTAAACCCCCAAAACCCTAACCCTAAACACATCAATCCAACCCATCTAAACCAGTTCTCCCCTCACCTGGACTCCAACTTGGTCATTGAAGTCATCAAAGAACAGCAACCCTATCCTTTCCAAGCCCTCTTCTTTTTCAACTGGGCATCAAACCTGAACCCAAACCCAAACAACTACTCTCACAATCACCGATGCTATGTAGCCATCATTGACCTTCTCCTCTCTCACTCGCTTTTTCCCATTGCCAAAAACCTCCTTGAAAAACATGGCATGTTTTCTGATCTTTTAGTTAGTAAACTTATTAGAGCTTATGGGTATAGTGGGGATACTAAAAGTGCAATCTTTTGGTTTCATAAAGTGAAAGAGATTCAACAAGGGAAGTGCTTGTTTTCTTGGAATGCTATTTTGGGTGTGTTAGTGAAAGTCAATCAGATTAATGTAGCAAAGTCATTTTTTGATCAAATTGTGCATGATGCCGTTGTAAAGCCTGATGCTTCAACTTATACAACAATGATTCGAGGGTTTTGCAAAGTGGGTATGATTGAGAATGCTAGGAAAGTGTTTGATGAAATGATTTGTGAGCCTAATTTGATTACTTGCAATACTTTGATTAATGGTTATTGTAAAAAAGGTGATATGGAGAATGCAAGGATATTTTTGTGTAGGATGATGGAGAGTAAGGACTGTTTGCCAGATACGGTTACTTATAGTACTTTGATTGATGGTTATTGTAAGAAAGGGGAATTGAATGAGGCAAGGAAGTGGATGGATGGGATGTTGATTCGGGGTTGCAACCCGAATTTATGGACCTATAATGCTATTATTTATGGTTTGTGTCTGAGAGGAAATGTTGATGAGGCTAGGAGGTTTCTGACAAAGATGAGACTGAATGGGGTGAAAGAAAATGTTGCAACTCATTTGAGTATTTTGAAGGGCCTTTCCGTTGCGGGGAAGTCGGAGGAAGCTATTGGATATTTCAGCGAGATGATTAGAAAAGGAATGAAACTTGATGCAAAAGAGTATGAAGTTGTGATTACTGCGTATTGCAAGATGAGGAAACCCGATGAAGCGATTTCTATTATGAAGGAAATGCAGGCTAGGGGCATTAGTCGGGGTGTTGGAAGTTTCAATGCTGTGCTTAGGATTCTTGTGGAGATTGGGGAGCTTGATAAAGCAGTTCTTCTTCTTAAACAAGTGAAGAATATGGGTTGCCTTCCAAATTTGGTGTCGTATAGCACCGTGATATGTGGTCTTTGCAGGTCCCAAGGTAGGATGCATGGAGTTGCAGATCTTGTAGATGACATGCTTCAGGATGGTTTAGAGATGGATGCAACCTTGTATAGTTGCTTAGTCGGTGGTTTCTGTGAAGCTGGCAATGAGGAAATGGCAATGCGTGCCTTTTATGACTCAATTAATAAGAATTATGTCATTAATTTGCAGAGCTTTTCATTTTTTGTCAACCTGATGTGTGGAAAGGGAAAAGTTATCGAGGCTGAACAAATATTCAAGGATATGTGTAGGAGATGCTCGTTAGTTGACGTGTACAGTTACCAGAGGGTCCTAGATGATCAATTGCATAAACACTCAGGGAGAAGATGAGAGGAAACTGAAGTGGCAAGCCACTGGACCCCCCAAAGGCAAATATACCCTAATGAATATAGGAGGACAAGAGATTGCTCTTGACCTATTTTTTAAACTGAGTGCTCAGAATATGCTATGCTTTCAGCTGAATCAAGGGAGAACCATGCTGAGACATGAAGTTTTTGCAATGTCACAGACTTGGAGAGAATGTGCAAGTCTCGTGGTAAAAGAATGTTGTCGCATTTTATTACTTCTGTCGTGTCCTTTGCTTGTTAACATGCTCTCATCACATTGGCCCCCGTTTCCAGTGGTTAAAGTGATTTTTTATCTTTAAAAATATATTAAAATAATATTTTTATATTTAAAAATTATTTTTGATATTAGTATATTAAAATAATAAAAATATAAAAACATATAATTTAAAAATAAATTTTGATTTTTTATAAAACATTACCACTTTCCTAATAATCCTTCAGCAGCAGCTACGCGCTAAAAAAAAACCAAGAAACCAGTCCACAAGACCCACGTGGCATTAGATTTAAGGGCTTTGACCTGGATGAAAAAGAAAAGAAAAGGAAAAACCCTTAAATTTATGTGCGTGTTTTTTATAAAAGAAAATATATATAGAAAAAAAAAAAAAAAAAGCAAGATGATGGGCCTGTTTGGAGAGACACAGCCATCTCCGGTACTTGACGGACTCTTCACCCTTTTATAAAATCCGATTAATTGATCCATTTCATTCCCGATTCAAATCCAACGCCTTCCTTCTTCTATCTCTGTCCGTGTTTGAGAGAGAGAGTGACAGACAGAGGTCAAATATTTCTCTCTTATCTTTCCCTCCTTAAAACATAAAATTCTCCTCTCTCCTTGGTCTCTCTCTCTCTCTCTCTCTGTCCTCTGTTTCTTCTCTCGATCTCCATTTTGCTTCTTTCTTTTACTCTCTCTACGAGTTTCAACTTTCTTTTCTTTTCTATAAGAGGACGAAGCTCGTCTTCTTGATTAAGCGGGGGTCATTTAGTGACGATGGACGGCGGAGCATCTTATAATCCTCGCACGGTGGAGGAAGTCTTTAGGGATTTTAAAGGTCGAAGAGCTGGCATGATTAAAGCTCTTACTACTGGTACTCTTTTTTTGTTTGTTTCTTCTTATTCTTTTGAGGTTTTTCTTTTTTTAAGATATATAACTTTTTGGAGAATTATTAAATGTGGTTTCGTTTTTCGTTTTTCCTTTTTTGTTGCAGATGTTGAAGAGTTTTACCAGCAGTGTGATCCTGGTTAGTTTTTGTTTTCTAAATAAAAAAAATTATGGTGAATTGTTTGGTTTGTTTTCTCGCGTTTTAACCTTTTGGTTTCTGGGAAATTTGCGGGGGGAAAGGAGAGGTAGAGTTTTGGTTATGGAAAAATTTGGACCTTTTCTTTTACTGTGGGTTACGTGGTGATTTTACCTACTTGAAGCAAAATTTTTAAATTAGTTTTTTATAAATGGGCTAGATTTCTTTAATCTCGGTAGTTAAATGGACGTCATGTATTTAATTGTTATTGAATTTTTGCTGCTTGCTTTTGCATTTAGATTATTTTGGCTAAAGGTTTCTGTCTTTTGAACTGCATTAGTTTAACTATCCTGTAAAATTTAGCTATATCTCTAATTCGTTTTTTCAGGTGTATTTAGAATTTGTGAATTTCATTAAAAAAAACCTTCTTTAATATCTTGACTGATGGAAGCAGACAAAATGTAGCTTTATTAATCATGATTGTTGCATGCATTCCTTCAGTTAACAATGACAGATGCTGTTATTCACGGATAAGCTGTGTTTGCCTGTTCATTTTGACAATTTTAGTGGAAGTGGAACTTGACTTTGACAACTTTATTCGCTGATAAGCTATGCATACTTGTAGATAGCTGTAAAGGGTATACATATTTTCTATGATTGTTGATTTGTTCTTGTGTTGACATTTGTTTGAGGTTTTACGGTGTGTATCATTAAGAAGTGTAAACAGTTGTTTTAAAATAAGAAAGGAATTGAGGATATCAGTGATTTTTAGTAACCTCATTAGTTAGTTTTGAATTATTGAATCACTATTGTCATGTTCCACAAAGCTCATAATCTGAGTGGGGTAAAAGTATGCATGTACCACTGGGGTTTTTAAATTAGTTCACATATTTGAGTTTCTTGATTTTAATGTGCACACTCTCTCACAGTCAAGTGTTGATTTTACATATCAAAACAAGTATGAATGCAACAAATCAATGTTAATGCAGAAAAAGTGTACAAAAAATGTTTCGTAATTGCAAACCAGAGATGTGGCACTGGTTGCATAGGAGTAGCTCATCTTTTGTAGTCATTTAAGCCTCTTTAATAAGAAAGTGGTTATCATTTACAGTTAGATACAGAGTCACATTTTCCAAGCAAATGGGTGATACAAAAAGATGTTTTCAGGATAAGCTGCATCCACTTTGATGTAACAACCTCTGGTATTGATATGCAAAACAAGATAAGGCAGTCCTGCCAACTTACTGCTCCTGTCTAAGATATCCACATGCGGATTAGGCTTAACTGCTAGGAAGAGAGTGTATCAAATGTGATTAATTTATTTGATGATCACAAATCCCAGATTAAGTGCTATAATGGTCACCTGTGCATATGTTTAATGAGTTTGAATACAGTGGTGAAGAAATAAGCACGGAATTGTCCGCCTCATGTATAATGAAGCTTCAAATATCACAATTTAATTGGATGGCATAAGTAGGATGTAATTTTATATGCATGGAACTGTTTGGTTGTGATAAAAGTTTAGGTTTTAAGAGCTCCGGGTGCTTATTATGGTATGTTGACAGAGATGAACATAATATCTGGATTGATTGTGTTCATTAATGCCTTGGTAGTCGATGATTGCTTTAATTGGAACCTTTTGTTTTAATGTCCATGTATAGCCTCTCTCTTTATTCTGCTTTCTTCTTTAGTTTATCATGTTTAGTTATTATTGGGTGGCCCTTTTTACATGCACTTTACCGTGTTCTTCTCATCTCTGTTATAAAAAAAACCCACCTTTGAATGTGTTTTTCTTTTATCAGCTTTCGAGCCTATTTGTTTTTGTGTCAAAACAACTTTTTTTTTATTTACTTTTACAGATTTTTCGTGACATCTGAAAGTATTCTTTTAGATTTGATAAGATTTATGTGATCTTGTTGATTGCAGAGAAGGAAAATCTCTGCCTTTATGGATTTCCTAGCGAGCAGTGGGAGGTCAATTTACCTGCTGAAGAGGTGCCTCCTGAGCTTCCAGAGCCTGCATTAGGTATCAACTTTGCCAGAGATGGGATGCAAGAAAAGGACTGGTTGTCTCTGGTTGCTGTTCACAGTGATGCATGGTTGCTTTCTGTGTCCTTCTATTTTGGGTCTAGGTTTGGATTTGACAAAGCAGATAGGTATATTTCTCTTGCACGTGTGGTGCAACTGCAGTGTAACTTCTTTGTGTGTGTAGCATATGAGTTTCGCTTTCAGTGGTGACTGGTCTCCACGGTTCAACTTTTTACCAATAAGAAGTTGTTTTTCTGAACAACTACAACTTTTTTCTTTTCTTCTTTTTAATCATGAAGAATTACTCCTACTTTTATTTTGATCAGTGATTTGCTTTTGTCCTTCTACTTTGCAAATTGATTTTGGTGTCTTTAACTCTTAATTACATGAATTAGTTAGTAATATGTTTTTTGGCATGGAATCAGGTTTGCAGCACGTTGTATGAATTTGGGTAATGAATTTTTCTAAGCAAATATGTCATGAAATTCATCACGGGTTGTTTTATCAACAACAGCCAATTAATGAATGATTCTGTGTGATTTGGTGAAAACTCATCCTCCGTAAATGATATTAGTCATATATTATGTGTTTCTTGCTTGTGAGTGGACTTATATTATTTTAAAGCATATCAATGAAATTTATTGCTTGTAAGTGAACTTATTTTATTTTAAAGCGTATCAATGAAATTTATTTTCTTTTTAAAAAGATTCTACACTTAAATCTTGTCAAGATTGATTTGCAGTGAAGGTGGTAGTTCTATGCTTTATTCTTGATTCCAAGAAGCATGTTTGAGTCCTGCTTCTCCGCCTAGCAATGTCTCTTAACTATTATTGTTTATGATGCTTTTGTGGCCTCTCTTTGTGGATAGAATTTCTTGATTTAAGCTTTATCGTGTTTTTTAATAATATACTTTTGGTTTTATGATGCAGAAAACGCCTTTTCAACATGATAAATGATCTTCCAACAGTATTTGAGGTTGTGACTGGAACGGCCAAGAAACAAGTAAAAGAAAAGTCATCAGTTTCAAATCACAGCAGCAATAAAACTAAATCAAACTCTAAGGTATCAAGGACTTTGAGGCTGCGACTCTATTTGGTCTGTTATATCTGTACTGATAGGAAATCATAGTTGTCCACCTTGCAAGATTTGATGCCAAATTTTAATTATCTGCACCTATTAAAATTAAAGATGACTCAGTCTTGTTTAATTGATTTAGCAGCTATATTATTGTTGGTATGGCAATATTGAACTATGATGCTTAGTACTCTTATAAGTTTCATAATGATAATGTTGGCAATGTATCTTGTTTGATCGAATGTGCAGCGAGGCTCCGAATCCCAAGGCAAGTTTTCAAAGGTAATGCAAGCAAAAGATGAAGACGGCGAGGGCTTGGATGAAGAAGATGAAGAAGAGCATGGAGAGACACTATGTGGTGCTTGTGGAGAAAATTATGCCTCTGATGAGTTCTGGATTTGCTGTGACATCTGTGAAAAGTGGTTCCATGGAAAATGTGTGAAGATCACCCCAGCAAGGGCTGAGCATATTAAGCAGTACAAATGCCCATCTTGCAGCAACAAAAGAGCACGGCCTTGATGAAGACTGGAGCTTGCTCTCTGTGTATTATGTATGGCATGTGGGACTACTAACTGTCTAGTAGGTCAGGTTTGTTCTTAGGCATGTGTCCTTTATTTATCTAGGAAAACTATTTGGGTGTTATGAGTAGTTTGCAAAATCTGCTGTTTATTTTAACCATAAATTAGGATATTTGTTACACTTTCAGCTTGGCAACCATTTTCCCCATGACTGGGATATGAGTGTTTGTTGACGTTATGTTCATATGCAATCTGTCCAGTTCTATGAAGACCGTTTATTCCGTCCGTCTCACCTTTCAGCTTTAGCTTTGCTCTTGCCTGAATTATGGATGTCTTAAACCAGGTTCGGATCTCGGAGGACCAAAAAAAAAAAAATCTAGAAAGACGCCTCAAAGCTGGATTGTCACCAGGATACTGGTTAAAAATTGGTTTTGTCCCAATTGCGAGCACCAGTTCTGAGAATCGTCATCGCTGGATTCAACTTGTTCTTTATTGTGCCAGCCTCTAGTCTGAATGGTACATGGCCTTATTCAATGGAGCGTGGACTTGTTTTATCTGACAATATGCTCTGAAGGGGCATCCCTTCAGAAGAAAAATCATCAGCAACTCTGAGCAGCTTATCTGGTGTTCTTGCCATATCCATCAGCGTTTAGGTTATCCTGTGTGTAGTACACCTGGGAGAGCGAATGATTTTCATATCTGGGCATTATGATTGCAAGGCAGGAGTAATAGCGTAATAAATGTGCCAAAATCTCGATGGCCTGAAGTCAGTGAAGAGCTTGAAGAGGAGCAGGTGGTAAAGGAGCCACAATCCTTGTGGGAGCATTGTACATTAGTGAGGTAATCACCGGGTCTTGAAAATGTCAATTGTTCATTTCGGGCAATATCCAATTGGGGCGGCTACCGATTGGGTCTTGCTAGGAACAGGCATGAGCTACACGGATGCATGGCTCACCATGTGGGAGTGATTGCGCCGTTGGCACGTGTCAGAGTATAAAGGGGCAGAGACTAGACGGATGCATAAGCGCGAATCTCACACCTAAATCAGATGCCACGGCATAAAAGCCGTCCAGTGGTTGCATGTGCTTGCAGCTCCACTTTTCATGAACAAACAATCAAAGTTTAGATTCTCCCATCTTACAATTCTTGAAAACCCAACCTCAGCCCTCGGCGACCCCTCTGACTAGAAGAAGTTTCAGGCCAGCACGAGAAAAGTACCAGGTCTTCCTTGCCTAGTACCTCGTCAAAACTCTCTCTCTCTCTCTCTCTCTCTCTATATATATATATATATAGAGAGAGAGAGAGAAAGAGAGAGTGTGGTTAAGGAATCTTTTTTCTAGAAAAATGTTCTTGAAACACTTTTGACACGTGTGATGAACACCTTCCGGGAGTATTCCAGTACTTCTAATATTATCATGGTATAAAAAAATCTTAAAAAAACATTATTTTTATATATTTTTAATTAAAAAACACTTAAAAGACCTTATGGATAGTGAAACCTGTGACTGCCTGTGAAGGATGAGAGACAAATTCTATCTCATATTTCAAGCGCACTGGGGTGTGGCAAGCTAAAAAGGGTCCTCGATTTTGCTTTTGACGCAAGCGCCGTGGCTGAGGATAATCTCAGAAAGAGGGAGGGAATGCACCCATTGTTTCCGCTGGCTTATGGCTGAATATAATGATGGCAGAAACTGGATGGTCCACGGGAATTCTCGTTGGCCAATGGATTTCTCCATAAAAACCCACGGTTTCATGCCCATACAATCTACCAGACATGTAAAAACATCATTGTTTTGGATCATGTTCGGTCAATGTCAAGTAAATATAAACGATACAAAAACACACAACAGTTATAAAATGATTTTTTATTTTTTAAGGAAAACCGTAACCAGCAAACTATGTTTAGAGAACTCGCACTCTTTACTAGGCAGTCTGATAAGCCTATCAGGCAGTTATTTGATCTTCTTTAACAATAACATTACCAAGTGAGGAGACCTTTTCTGGGCCTTAATTTAATTTAGCAATGGCACAAGAGGACAAAGCTAGAGCCATACTGGGTAGCTTCTTTTAGCAGTAGTAATGGATGTTGTGTAACGAGGAGACTCGTGTCGGGCACATACATGACCTCAGAATGGAAGCTAAGTCCTCACCTGCAATCGGTAATCCTCGTCCCCTCAAGTGCTCCAGGGTTCGAGCCACTGACATCCGGACGGCTTTGTCACGTCAGCTGCCTCGCGGAGGTCTTGCCATATTTTGAATTTCTTTTTTGGCTGAGGTAACAGTTAGGTTCATAATATATGCTAGTTAAACAAGAAAATGGAGGAGGTCATTGTCTCTCCACGCATATACGGACATGAATGGTAGATCAGTGTCATCATCGGCTATGTTTATAATTCACCCTACATAAAGTATGCATAACAATCTCTACATGGTACGTACCTTCTCTTCCATAGACGAGACATCAAGATTAAAGAGACAGATACTTTACGGTTTGAACATTTCATCTCAACTACAATGCATACGAAGTTAGATTTGCTAGAACAGGCATTATTCATGCTCAAAGTAAATGTAAAGTTGGAAGCGCATAGAGAACGGCCTTGTTATTACTGCACATAAGTCTACATTGATTTTGCAATGATTTCCACTACAATTAACAGGGAAGCAGAAAGGAAAACAAAAGAATTTACACTGATAAGCCATCTTGGCAAGCACGCCAATAAAGACACGCAGGATAGAAGTAAAAAAAATTGTAAGGATTTCAGGTGGAAAAGGTGTCTCCTCTCCTGTTGCTCTGGAGTCATGAGGTCAAGCTCTCTCTGTTCTTAGCAGATAACCGTTTCAAAAACTCGTATGTTGTGATCATGGTTGTAGCAGACATAGCCATTGAAACCCACCTCGGTCCCAGACCTCTATAACAAGCTGCAAAACCACCTTCCTTCACCAAATTCTTAACTGTTTGCATAACTGTCAATGGCCTTGTTCTTCCATTTTCCTCTCCATCCAAAACCTGCAAGCGTGTCTTAATTGTGTCAAGTGGCATAGTAATCATAGCTGAAACTCCACTAGCCATGGCTGCACACACTCCTTGTACTGCCACCAGTTCCTTTGAAATAGGCGTATAACCACAACCCCCACCACCATTTACAGCATTCTCATCTTTTTTATTGGCATAGCAACCGATACAACCCCAGACAAGCCTATGAGCCACAGAATAAGACGCCCACCAAACTGCATTAGATGGTGCATAAGTCAATATTGATATCCCAAATCCTCTATACAACCCTCTTGGACCATCTGCGTTCAAGATCTTCCTAAAGCCATCGATACCATTCATGTACCTACAAGGACTTGAACAGGGAATCATATTCTTGCTACTCTTGATACTGCTAGCGTTACAATCTTGAACCATGAGTCTTTGGCTCACAACATCAATTGGGGTCCAAACTAGCTGTGCAGCCATGGCAGAACTCAACCCAGCAGCAGCATTAGCAATAGCTGTTGCAGTAGTATCAGAACATCCTAACCTAACAGTTGCAGTCCCAACACTACTCTTGGTAATCTCAAGTGCTGTCATGTAAAGTGCTCGAGCTGGGATTGTACCCATCAAAGAAGTACCAAAGCCCCTGTAGAATCCTCTCACACCTTCATGATTCATAATTGACAATGACAATTTGAGAGACGAAATTTGAGTAGGCAAAACCTGTTGCCTAGTCTTTAAAACAACAATAGGGTAAAGAGCAGCTGATACGCCTGAAAATAAAGCTGCTCCAAAAAAGAAAAACTTGGACTTGTCAAGCATATGCCAATCTATATCAGCTGGTAGATGAATCTCTGACGCCGAATTATCCTCGGCAGCACTCAAACTCATCTTAGCCACTTTTAAAACACTAAATCATCAATCAAAAGACAAGCCCTTTTTGCTCAACTAGCTAAAGAGTTATGATCTTTAGAAACCAACAAACAACTAATTTAAGAAGAAACCCACTAAAATAAACTAAACCCAGATCCAACAAGCCTCAGTCTTCTCTATTTCGACTACTAATTGGCGATACGATTATGTATATTAAAAAAAAAAACAAATCTGAAATAGAAAAGGAGAAAGATCGAATCTTGAAAAAAAATGAAATTGAAATATTAGGAAGATATTTAAGGGTTAGGTATAGCAAGAGTTAAAGAGTCTAGAGGTTGGAAGTGGGTTCCGTTTTGTTGGGTTTTTTTCTCCTTCTATGCCAACATATTTCAGACCAGATTTGGATCACCATAAAAGGGTCAAAGACAGATAAAACCCAAATCAATAAAGATAGTGGTGATATCAAAATCTTACCAGAAATCTTATGATTGTTTATCTATTCTTCACCGCTTCGCCACTTGGAAAATAAATAACAAGAACCCAACTTGATAAAATACATGCAATAAAGAGAGTGAAAGATGATTACAAACCGAAAATCAAGAGGGGAAGGAAGAGGGAAAGAAAGAGAAAGTGGATAAATCGCAGAAAGCGAAATGAGAGAGAGAAGAGCGAGTGCAGACGTTAATTTAACGGAAAGGAGAAGACAAGAGTATGGATTTTAGAGAGGGTTTTGCGGATCGAGGAAGGTGTACACGTGTCTGTTACCATTTCGAGGAGTACAGGTGACAGATTAGATAATTTGCCCTTTTTTTTTTTTTGCTGCTGGTTGTTCAAGCTTAGGAAACACTTGAAGGAACAGTTACAAGAGGAAGGGAGGCCCTCCCTTTGTTTTCCTCCCTGTTTTTATCAGATCTTGGTTCGAAGTTCAAGTTCAACTCTGTGGGTGTTTTAGCATGTAACGCTTTTGCCTTGGGCTACCTGAATCACTGCCGCCTCTGCTTTTTTCTCCTTGGAATAGAATGTGTGGGGGTGAGATGTTGTGTGTTTTTTAAAATGATATTTTTATATATAGATATATTAAAATAATGTTTTTTATATTTTATATTTTTATTATTAACATATTAAAAATATTAATTTGATGTTTTAAAATAAAACGTACTCTTAAAATTAATTAAAAAACAAAAATTACAGCAATTCCAAATACTCTTTCATCAACAACACCAAATATCCAATTCTAACTTTTGTTTTAGTTTCCTTTTTCTTTTTTAATAACCCTAAACCTTCAATACTTTTTCATTTTACTTTTATCTTTTCAAAAATTATACTTTATATTTTAGATCAACTTAATTTTTTAATATATATATATATTACAAACACCCACAAATGAGTAAAACAAAACTGTTCTCTCTCGAATTATTTTTTTCAAGTACA